CGTGTCTCTATTGGAGCTGCAGTGCTGACATTATCATCTGTGGTGAAACATTAGCATCATTAACTGAGAAACAGGAGCACGTTCAGTAGGCGGACAGTAAATCTAAGAGTGTCAGTGCTATTGATGGAGGAGCAAAGGCACTTCTGAGCTGCTGGCGAGAGACGCCGCGGAGCGAAATGAACCCAACAAATGTTTTATTCATAGCATGCAGCAGCTGTGGGTGTGAATGCAGGAGCAGCTGCGGTGCCGGGCCGGTCCACGCATCTCCTGGCAGACCCACAGCAGTGCCTCAGTGCCATGATCCCTGCTCCCGGAGGAAGACCGGAGCCCGCCGGAGCCGCACCGCACCGCCACTGTAGAGGTAAGACCTCAGAGAAACATTTCCAAAGCTTGCACCTTGGAACGCATTTGAAGGTTTGCGTTCTCCAGACGCCAGGCACTGCTGCTGTGCGGAAGAGCAGCCGGAGCGGTTACGGGTTTCTGTTAGAGCGGCGGCGTGTTAGCGGACGCTAAGTTAATAACTAATGATCGTTGCAACGGAAGTGAATCAATCAAAACTAACTTTAGCTGGACAATAACTTTATTCTACAGCTGCTGTAAAGCCAAGCAATCTCTGTTACTGTAATCTCCTGTTATCACTGTAAAGCTGCTGTGAAGAGTCTGCATTGATAAAGCGCTGTGTGAATGAAGATGACTTGACTTGAGCCGGACTCACAGCCCAGATCTCTCCAGACGCCGGCGTCTGTGAAGGGAAGCTCGCACATCAGACATTCTGCCTCCTCCTCCTCCTTCTGCTTCTGCTTCTGCTTCTTCTTCTTGCCTGACGCTTTCCTCGGCTCTTTCTTTGCTTTATTGACTGTCTTGACGTCTGCAAAGAAAACAAACAGAGCAAATGAGGACTGAAGACTAGCACAACGTCAGATGTTTGCATGCTGCCGATCGCTAACCAGCCAACCACATTTTGGTGATGTCAACTTTAAATTTGGAACACAGCTTGGACAGACATGCATAGCCGTTTTAGTAACAGTGTCTCGTGTCCCGTCGCAGACGTCAATCGAAATTTCAGCTTTTTCTGCTAATTTATGGACAATCAGACTGGTCTGGCTCCGATCGGGCGAGAAACCTAGGACCACATTGCAAAAGTAATGATCCTGGGAAATTTTAACAATTACATGCGCGGCTATGTTTTTTTTTAGCAATTTTAGAGTCTAACAAATTTATTTTGTAACAAAATAAAAAAGCTTAGCTCAGTAGATTTGCTTTACAGCAAACTTACACTTCCATTACCTTTTTACACTTTCATTTTTTGAAGTGATTTCACTTCACAGCAATAATATGAGAGCCTTCTCTAAAAGTTGATACATCTATTTACTTTGCTATCATAACTACTCATAATTACATGGTTGCATGTATTATTTGCATTCACCATCTTTAGAACAGAGACACCCACAATCACCAAAACACGGTTGATCACACAGAGACTTTCAAAATGAAGAAATCAAACGATTTCTAGTGTCGAAATACTGTTCGTCGCCGCTGTATCGGATTGTCTTATAAAAGACTGTATTTGTTTTTTAGGGGTTCAAGCCTGTAGCACTGAAACTCTATTGTAATTGTTCAAATTTCCCGATCGGCCTGATGGGGGCGCTACAGCGTAGGCTCAAGTGTCTTATATCGTTGGAATCTTTGGCTCAACATTGGACAAAAACGCATGGATGGCGAAACTTTCGGGTAATTCAAATTTTTTGAAAAACCTAATTTTGCAATGGAGTCCTAGGTTTTTCACCCGATCGGAACCAAACCAGTGCAGCAAGATTCTCTGGAGTCTGATTGTCCATAATTATCCAAAAAAGTTGCAATTTCAAATTTGACCTCTGCGACGGGACACCAAAAAGTTTGAAGTGGGCGGAGCCACTTTTACTAAAACGGCAATCCCTCTTGAACGGAAAGAGACAATTTCACCGAACATGGTACACCTATGTATGCACTAGGTTTGTGGTCATGTGAAAAAGCACGAGGCGACTGGCCACTTGGTGGCGCTATAACATGGAAAAAACATACAAATGGCTATAACTACACAACCCTGAGTCTAATTGACTTGGAAATTGGCATGCGGTGTCTTCGTCCAAGGACATTCACGTATCTCTAAAAAAGCGTCCGGTGGCGACCAGTGGTTAAAGAGGTTAACGGAGGCCGTCCGGAACAAAACTCGCTGGGCCTGTTTGACTCTCTGCCCTTCGAGGCCTGTGAGAAATCACAAAGAAATGCTGAGCAACTTTGCCTCTAGGACCGCTGCTGTCAATTGAGTCGTTCGTTAAATATTGGAGATTATTCCATTAACCAGCTTTTGGGAACTAGTCCTAGTCCTCAACCTCGATAAAACCCCTGCGGCACAATTCTCTGGACTCTCTAGAGAATAGATCAATAATTATCAAAAAATGTTGAACTTTATGTTTTGAATAGCTATTAAGGGTCATTTAGAAAAAAGGGTGTGGCAAAACATACTCAAAAGCCTATAAATCTAAAACTTCCCGACATTAGGTGAGCACATATGCGACATGATTAGAAACAAGCATGCAAACTTTTATGAAGATTGGACCATAGGGGGCGCTACAACTGTTAAAAGCTTTAAAACCCATACATATCCTGTGGTAAATTGCCTGTATTGGCTGTAAATGGTCTTTTCCTACCATGATCGAGATGGTTACATGCTTGCTAAATAAAACATAATACGTTTTTGCGCATGTGCATAAAGACCTTAAGCGCTTGAACCCTATATTTAGTCATTTCTTCGTTCGGTCAGTGTGCATGTCTCACCCTTGGTAGTGTCCGTGTGTTGTCTGGCGGTCAGTGTGGACACAGAGTTGTTGTTGTTGTCCTCCATGATGCTCGCCTGACCCTCAGCACATGCTCCTGCCCGACACACACTCACACTGGGTGTGTGTGACTGAGATATGATGATCTGTGTCGCGCGAGATGACTGAGAAATGACACGCAGCCCAACCTCAGAAACACACTTGATCACTTCTGAGGGGACGCCAGCATTCAACACCCCTGACCAGCGCTTTAACCTTGTAGCGAGCAGAAAGTGGCGACTGATCATGTCCAGTCAAACTACTGGAGTCAGATGGTTAGTGTGACAGAAGTTATGTAGTTAATGTCGCAGGTGATTTAATCGAAGTGTAGATAAGCTCGTGATCGTGAGGCGGCTTTCTGCATGCACTACTGGATCAGCTTGCGTGTTGAAGAAAGATCACACAGTGTTTACCACTGCAGCAAAAAAACACAACACGACACACATGGTACGGGCAGTCAGAGGGGACACGCGGTGCTCGAAAAGCGTTCAAAAACAACAACGGTGACGGTATACTTTTAAAATGAATACTTTACACATTACTGAAGATTCTCGCATCATTTACTCACTTTCGTGGAGTTTCAAACCCCGATTTCTTCAGTGTAACACACAATTAGATATTTATAAGAAGGCTCGTCTCAGACTCTGCTGTTTATGATCTTTTATGACTCGTGCACTCAGGGCTGCCAAACTTCGCATTAAGTGTGAGATATGGCCATAGTGAGATTCACGCAATCGACACTTTTCACGCGCTCTCACGCCACACACACACACACTTTCTCACGCAGAGAAAAATCGCGAAGCAAAGCCAAAGAGGACAGTGACACCGACCGACAACACAGAGAAGGTTACTTTTGATATGAAACAAATTCTCAGCAAGCTCTCATATTCTGTCAATTTTATTACGAAATTCAAATAATAAGTACCGTTTTGGCGCTTGTAAGTGTGTCGTGACAGATCTCTGTAGCGCCCCAGTTCAAGCGGCGCGCGAACCGACCATCTCTCTTTAGTTTAGTAAATAAACACGAATGAACAATAGGTGTGTTGAAAGAAACAGTATAACTTACCGGAATGTACATGCCTCATACATAATCTCGATTAATCAGTGTTTTTCAAACGTGGAAAGAGGTCAATAAAACAGCTGGAGAACAATGTCACATAACGTTACATTTACCTCAGGAAAGCCAGCCATATTATACATGTATATTCAATGACCATAGCACGTTAACTTAGTTGGCTAGAAACATTAGAGAGGAGTATTTTGCTAATATGTGCAGTGCACTATCCCACATAGCAAATGTTTTCTGGCCCAGCTCCGGGCCACACAATCACTTTTCCCTCGGCCCAAGTACCGCAAAGAATGACGGTACTGAAGTGGCCCAGAACTGGATTAAAGACAAGGGTCACACATGGGCCATAACCGGCCCGAATCTCAGCCAGTTAACCCTTAACTGGCCCTGAAGTGGCCCAGAACTGGATTAAAGACATGGGTCACACATGGGCCATAACCGGCCCGAATCTCAGCCAGTTAATCACCCTTAACTGGCCCTGAAGTGGCCCAGAACTGGATTAAAGACAAGGGTCACACATGGGCCATAACTGGCCCGAATCTCAGCCAGTTAACCCTTAACTGGCCCTGAAGTGGCCCAGAACTGGATTAAGGACAAGAGTCACACATGGGCCATAACTGGCCCTGAATAGGACCAAAAGAGGTTTTATTTTTGGTACCAAGTCTCAGCCATAAGTTAACCTTATCAACACCAGAAACCCCAAAACTGAGCCATAACCCAGCCTAATCTTACCAAACCATATGAACAAATCAGTCACAGGAAAATTCAATTCTGAAAATTGCTTTATTTAACAATAATGTACACGCCAAAAATACATTTTTAAATTACATCTAGAATTGTGTAACTGTGTGAAGGCTATTTTAGTACATTCAAAGCATAACATCTTATTAGCACCTCAAAAAATTGCATTTAATTTCAAAATGTTCTTGTCTGTCTTTAACAGTTACTTATTGTAGTAATGCACAAGCCAAAACATTTAATAATAATGAAAATTCACATCTAGAATTGTGTAACTGTGTGAAGGCTATTTTTTTTTTTTGTACATTCAAAGCGCAACATCCTATTACCTCAAAGTGCATTTAATTTCAAAATGTTCTGGTCTGTCTTAAAGGAACACTCCACCGTTTTTTCATATTAAACTATGTTATTCCCTTAACTAAGACGAGTTGATACATCTCTCTCGTCTCAGTGTGGCACTCAATCGCTCTGGCGCGCGGCAACACTTTGATAGCACTTAGCTTAGCCCAGTTCATTCATTAGGATCCAAACAGAGATGAAGTTAGAAGCGACCAAACACCTCCACGTTTTCCCTATTTAAATACAGTTACACGACCAAGTATGGTGAAACAAAATAAAACATGGCGCTTTTCTAAGCGGGTAAAATGGATAATAATGTATGGCGGAATAGCACTTGGACTCGGCGCAGTAATATAACTATATCATCGGGAGAGGATTATGAGTGATGATATTACTGCACCGAGTTGAAGTGCTATCAAGTGCTATTCTGCCATACATTATAGTTATCCATTATATGTTATAAGGCAATAACATAGTTTAATGGTCTGTTTAATATATTAATGGTCTGTTTAATAAAAAATAAAAAAAGTTTAATATGAAAAAACGGTGGAGTGTTCCTTTAAACAGTAGCTTACTTATTGTAGTAATATTGTAGTAATACAGCTAGAGTTGTGTGAACACTATTTTAGTTGCCTGAACAGCCAAGTATACAACATTTTCCAATTCTAACTAAATTAATCTATGAATGAATCTAGCACTGAAATGTAACCATATTATAATGTAATTTTACTCTCAACAAACATAGAGCAAATTAAAACAATTACTTAAAACAAATTTACACATCAGAATTTTTGTATGTGTGAGGGAGAAAAAAATAGTTCTCAGGAAGTGAAGTACATCTCTGCAGCCCCTCTTTTCTCCTCAAGCGCTCTCTCCTTCCTCCATCTCTATCAGGAGCAAGCTGAAGCCATCTTGTATAGTTGCTTCTATCTCCTGATCGGGAGCATGTTGTGTCAGACGATTTTTTTCTCACAGCAGCTAAAAGACAAAATATTAAATTAATACAAAATTAATAAATACATATACAAACATTAATCCACCTGTAAATAAATGTAGGTAACAAAATAAAGTAAGGTTGCTTTGGTTACATTTTATACAGGAAATGGTTGCTTATAATGTGGCACTATTGAATGACTGTCAAAATACTGTTGTCAAACTCACAACAGTATGACAACAGTATTTTGACAAACAAAACCTTTTTAGCAAACAAAAACCTTAAAAATGTTTAGATATGAAAACTGTGGTGTAAACACATGCTTATCTGTGAATTAACTTTTAATTTATTAACTGTTAAAATAAAACGGCAATTATCCACTAAAGGAATAGTTCAACCAAAAATTTAAATTCTGTCAACATTTCCTCACCTCCACTTGTACGATGCCTGTATGAGTTTCTTCCTTCTGTTGAACACAGCAGAAATTAAAAAAATAAATGTTTAATCAGTAGAGAACCACTTTCCAATTTAATGTTACATTCCAGTTACCTGTCTGGTCACCAACATTCCTCAAAATGTGTTCTTTGTGTTCATCAAAAGAAACCAACTCATCCAATCTTAAGAGAAAATGATGAGTAAATTTTCAGTTTTGTTTGAACTTCCTTTAAAAAACAAGAACAGACATACACACACACACATAAAATAGCAGACATATCCTCCTGATTATCAAAGTCACAGATTAGATTTAGATATAATTAAATCTGATTATACAACCATTGAATCACTTTGAGCTTTAAAAGTCAATTACTGTTGTTTGTTGCTGATTTCGCTGTGATTTTTCCTATCATTTTAACAGCATTAACTTACATTACATCCCTCAGGCCGGTCTATCGCACCGGTCGCGTCAGTCTGTACTCGCATTCTCAAGGGGCAGTGGATCCGCCACCATATAAGCAAAAGTTCACTTCAATAAAGAACAAAGTGACATCCGAGTTTGAATTCTGGTATTTAAAAAAGCACAAAGAAAGAGAGCGACGAACTTCACTTACCTGAACAGCAGTTGTCTGACAGTCAGTGACAGACTTCTTCACCCTTCAGCGGGAGAAATTTCAAACGACGCATACATCACGTGAACCTCATTCACCAACCAGAAAAGCTGCTGTTACCGTGGAGATCGCGCCAAAATAAACATTTTTTAAATGATATTTTTTTTCAAACGTTTTTTAATAAACTGCTATATATATATATATATAGAGAGAGAGAGAGTACGTTTTTAACATGATTTTGTGGTGCTTAAACTAAAAAGTATGGAAAATGTTGACTATTTTGTATGTGAATTATTTTTTCTTTAAACTATAAATTTATTTTAAAAAAAAAAATCAATTATCATGTTAGGAAAATGTATATTTTGTTCAGGTCAAATGGATTTGGGAATTGTTTAATGATTATTGAATTTTGTGAACATTGCTGAAAACTAATAGGCCTAGCAGCCCTAAATACTTATAACTGTCCAGTACACAAAGGCCGATAATCGCTACACTGATCTGGGCCATAATCACTAAACTGATCTGGGCCACACACCTCCCATCCACAATCGGCCCAAATGTTGTCTGCCGTCATGCATGCAGTGCCATCATTGCCACGCATGGCCCAGAGTTGGCTGACATGATGCATGCCAGTGCCGGCAACACGCCAGCAGTGCCATTTTGAGGCCACATTTGGGCCAAGTCTGTTTGCTATGTGGGATATGTATTATAGTTTTACTTAGGCCTATATCATTAAAAAGTTATAACGTTGTTATTATAATAAAAACCGCATTATATTTCATTTGAGTTGTTATTTTTTAACCTTTAATAATAATAGGCTACAGGGATCTCTGTATTTTTACAGCATTAGCTGAGGTACTTTTATTCTTGAGAAAATTAACGTACATCTACTGTAGGCTACCTAATATTGATCCACACAGTAATCGATATTGAATCAAGATCGGAATCAAATCACAAGAATTTAATTGAACAAAAATTTCCACAATTCTCACTCCAGGCTAAACTCTTCCCTTGTACTGTAAATATAATATATCCTGTGGACTTGGATGGACTTTTTGTGCATCAAAACCTGTGGAAAACGCATACAAAAATCATTATGATGCTAAAATAGGCTAACATAACTTTTTTTTTTAATTTGCAATGATATAGCCTATGTGTGGAAGCTTGTATCTACGGAATAAATAAAAAAGGTAATGTGACTTTTAATATCAAAATTCAGTTCAGGCAGATTCATAAGCGAAGCCTTTGCCACAGTTATGAAGCTGCATTTTCGTGTCTTGAATTGCTTGTTTTGTTCTTTGTATCCAGTGCTTCCTTCAGCCACACTGAGGCCTTTATTTCCAGGCATAAATACATCTTCCGTCTCGTCAAAAAACATGACACGGACAAAGTGAAAAGGAAATGTACCTCACAATCCAACGATTAACATGCTAGCAAAAATTATTAGTATAAATGTAGAAGTTCAAAGAGTCAAACAGAGCCCAGAAAAAGACAAAGGCACAGTTTAAATAAACCAGAGAGCGGAACAGAAACTCATTTAGTGAGCCGTGAAAGCCTTTGTTTGTTCAGACCTTGAACTGCCAGATTATTTCACTTTCTCACACACACACTCACACACACACACACACTCGCTGTGGGAAGAAACTCAGTGTGTGTACAGTAGGTGAGCACACATGTATTGTGATAGCACGGGTATTGTTTGCAGTGCTGCTCTGTGATTGGCTGTGTTCAGCTTCTCTCACACACCCTGGTGTGTTTGTGTGTGTGGTGTAACACTAGATGTCCGCTTGGGTTTCAGCACAACTCCCTGGGCCCAGAAGTTCACGGAAACAGGTGTCAGGACAGGACCGGTTCCCGACCCGCTCATCCAGGTGAGGGCGACGGCTCGTGGCCTGAGGTTTCCCTGAGAGCCTCCGGCTGGAGTTTGAGGTGAGCCAATCATGAGCCTGTTTAACGGGGACAGGGCTTCAGTTACACACCATTCTCTCCGATCAATGCTCTGCTTGCTGGATCACAATGCTAGAAATCCTTTCCTCAGTAATTACAAAGCTCCGGTTCCACTGATGCTGTTTTGACAGAGCTGTGCTGAGCAAATATTTAAAGAACTGCTTGATCATGTGACTAACCTTGTATCTGAATGCCTTCACAGTTCTGTGAAAATAACCAGGTGCGCTATTCTGAAACATGATGGGTTACTCTTCCAGTCTCTTACCTGCGTGTGTTCCTGATGTACACGATTCATGCAGTGAGAGAGAGTCTATGAAGAAGATGCACATTAAATGAGCAGTTCACACAAAAATGGAAATGAAGTCATTACAAATTAGTGTACTTTTTATATAGTACGACCTTAATTGCGACCTTTTTATCTCACAATTGCGCGATATGAAGTCAGAATTGTGAGAAATAAAGTCGCAATTATGAGAAATAAAGTCGCAATTGCGAGAAAAAAAGACAGAATTGAGACTTTTTTTCTCACAATTGCGACTTTACATCTCGCAATTCTGACTTTATATCAATCAATTCTGACTTTATATCAATCTGACTTTATATCAATCAATTCTGACTTTATATCAATCAATTCTGACTTTATATCACATAATTGCGAGTTTATATCTCGAAATTCTGACATCTTTTCTCAGAAGAATTGTGAGATATAAACTCGCAATTATGTGTTATAAAGTCGGAGTTGCGAGATGTAAATTCGCAATTGCGAGTTATCAGGCCAAATAAGGGGAAAAAACGACTAACTTTTTTCCCCTCAGAATAGTTTATATCTCACAATTCTGACTTTATAACATGCAATTGTGACTTTATATCTCGCATTTCTGACTTTATATCACGCATTTCTGACTTTATATCACGCATTTCTGACTTTATATCACGCATTTCTGACTTTATATCTCGCATTTCTGACTTTATATCACGCATTTCTGACTTTATATCTCGCATTTCTGACTTTATATCACGCATTTCTGACTTTATATCACGCATTTCTGACTTTATATCTCGCATTTCTGACTTTATATCACGCATTTCTGACTTTATATCACGCATTTCTGACTTTATATCTCGCATTTCTGACTTTATATCACGCATTTCTGACTTTATATCACGCAATTCTGACTTTATATCACGCAATTCTGACTTTATATCACGCAATTGCGACTTTATATCTCGCATTTCTGACTTTATATCTCGCATTTCTTACTTTATATCTCGCAATTCTGACTTTATATCACGCAATTGCGACTTTATATCAATCTATTCTTACTTTATATCTCGCAATTCTGATTTTATATCTCGCAATTCTGACTTTATATCAATCAATTCTGACTTAATATCAATCAATTCTGACTTTATATCACGCATTTCTGACTTTATATCACGCAATTGCGACTTTATATCAATCAATTCTGACTTTATATCAATCAATTCTGACTTTATATCTCGCAATTCTGACTTTATATCTCGCATTTCTGACTTTATATCTCGCAATTCTGACTTTATATCACGCAATTGCGACTTTATATCAATCTATTCTGACTTTATATCTCGCAATTCTGACTTTATATCTCGCAATTCTGACTTTATATCTCGCAATTCTGACTTTATATCTCGCATTTCTGACTTTATATCAATCAATTCTGACTTTATATCAATCAATTCTGACTTTATAACACGCATTTCTGACTTTATATCACGGAATTGCGACTTTATATCAATCAATTCTGACTTTATATCAATCAATTCTGACTTTATATCAATCAATTCTGAGTTTATATCTCGCAATTGCGACTTTATATCAATCAATTCTGACTTTATAACTCGCAATTCTGACTTTATATCTCGCAATTCTGACTTTATAACACGCAATTGCGACTTTATATCACGCAATTCTGACTTTATAACTCACAATTCTGACTTTATAACTCACAATTCTGACTTTATATCTCGCAATTCTGACTTTATATCTCGCAATTCTGACTTTATATCTCGCATTTCTGACTTTATATCTCGCATTTCTGACTTTATATCACGCAATTGTGACTTTATATCTCGCATTTCTGACTTTATATCAATCAAGTCTGACTTTATATCAATCAATTCTGACTTTATAACACGCATTTCTGACTTTATATCACGCAATTGCGACTTTATATCAATCATTTCTGACTTTATATCACGCAATTGCGACTTTATATCTCGCAATTCTGACTTTATAACTCGCAATTGCGACTTTATATCAATCAATTCTGACTTTATATCTCGCAATTCTGACTTTATATCTCGCATTTCTGACTTTATATCTCGCAATTCTGACTTTACATCAATCAAGTCTGACTTTATATCAATCAATTCTGACTTTATAACACGCATTTCTGACTTTATATCACGCAATTGCGACTTTATATCAATCAATTCTGACTTTATATCTCGCAATTCTGACTTTATATCAATCAATTCTGACTTTATATCATGCAATTCTGACTTTATATCTCTCAATTCTGACTTTATATCATGCAATTCTGACTTTATATCTCGCATTTCTGACTTTATATCAATCAATTCTGACTTTATATCTCGCAATTCTGACTTTATATCAATCAATTCTGACTTTATATCATGCAATTCTGACTTTATATCTCTCAATTCTGACTTTATATCATGCAATTCTGACTTTATAACTCTCAATTCTGACTTTATATCATGCAATTCTGACTTTATATCTCGCATTTCTGACTTTATATCTCGCAATTCTGACTTTATATCTCGCAATTCTGACTTTATATCTCGCAATTCTGACTTTATATCTCGCAATTCTGACTTTATATCTCGCAATTCTGACTTTATATCTCCCAATTCTGACTTTATAACTCGCAATTCTGACTTTATATCTCACAATTCTGACTTTATATCAATCAATTCTGACTTTATATCTCGCAATTCTGACTTTATATCTCGCAATTCTGACTTTATAACTCGCAATTCTGACTTTATATCTCGCATTTCTGACTTTATATCTCGCAATTCTGACTTTATATCTCGCAATTCTGACTTTATAACTCGCAATTCTGACTTTATATCATGCAATTCTGACTTTATATCACATAATTGCGAGTTTATATCTCGAAATTCTGACTTTATATCACGCAATTCTGACTTTATAACTCGCAATTCTGACTTTATATCTCGCAATTCTGACTTTATATCTCGCAATTCTGACTTTATATCTCGCAATTCTGACTTTATATCTCGCAATTCTGACTTTATATCATGCAATTCTGACTTTATATCACATAATTGCGAGTTTATATCACATAATTGCGAGTTTATATCTCGAAATTCTGACTTTATATCTCGCAATTCTGACTTTATATCTCGCAATTCTGACTTTATATCTCGCATTTCTGACTTTATATCATGCAATTCTGACTTTATATCTCGCATTTCTGACTTTATATCATGCAATTCTGACTTTATATCTCGCAATTCTGACTTTATAACTCGCAATTCTGACTTTATATCTCGCAATTCTGACTTTATATCAATCAATTCTGACTTTATATCTCGCAATTCTGACTTTATATCATGCAATTCTGACTTTATATCTCGCATTTCTGACTTTATATCATGCAATTCTGACTTTATATCTCGCAATTCTGACTTTATAACTCGCAATTCTGACTTTATATCTCGCAATTCTGACTTTATATCAATCAATTCTGACTTTATATCTCCCAATTCTGACTTTATAACTCGCAATTCTGACTTTATATCTCACAATTCTGACTTTATATCATGCAATTCTGACTTTATATCTCGCAATTCTGACTTTATAACTCGCAATTCTGACTTTATATCTCGCAATTCTGACTTTATATCAATCAATTCTGACTTTATAACACGCAATTCTGAGAAAAAAAGTCAACCTTTTTTATTTTTCATTCTGTGGCGGAAACAAGCTTCCATACGAGCTTCCACAGTGACCACAACATTTTTATTTTTCTATAATTTTTCAGTGAAACAAGCTCTATGTAGAAGTGAGAAGCACTTACTGCTCGCGCTCGAACACGCGACACACACGACAGACTCAACAGGATTCAAAGGCCCCGATATTCTTACGGTGAAGTTCGTTATTTGCTTAAAAGTAAAAAGTTGAAAACACCTTTGCAGTGATATACTTTTAACGAACATCTCAACTTCACCCACATTTGAATATGTAAATATGTGCTGCGCACTATCCTCTAAATAACAACATTTTATAACTTTCCCATGCCCCCGATCCTTATTGGTTGTCATGGTTACTGATTAGTTTTGCCTAGTGGTTGACTGTGTGCACCTGTGTGCATCTAGTGTCCTGTGTTTGCTCTGTGTGTTGAAGTCCTCAGTGTGAGTCAGCTCTTTGTCCTGTGTTGGTTATGTTGTGAGGTTGTTATTCTCATATTTCTTGTGTTGGAAGTTATAATTAAAGACTAATTCGTTTATTCCTTCGCCGTGCATATTTTCCGTGCATATAACTTCCACCACATTTGTCAAAATGTCTCCTTTTGTGTTAATAAGAAACATAACTTCTTAATGTTTGTGGTGAATTGTTCTAAGATGATCACACACACACACACACACACACATGCATCTTTACTTTACTGCAATAATTTTTACTTAGAATAAAAGAATATTAGTGAAAAATACTAAACTATAAAAGCTAACTATATATAACAATAATATTTTTAAATATGTTTTTAATATATTTAAATATTACCATGTACTGGATGTCCTAAGATTAGTATTAATATTATAAAAAATATATACTTTTAAAAACTTTTTATACTTTATTATATTAATACTAATTGTTCTGCCCATGTCAGTGCTTAATGGTTTAAGAGTGTGTGCGCGTGTGAGAGCGAGTGTGTGTGTGACTGTCAGTATGGTGTGTGACTGTCAGTATGGTGTGTGTGTGTGTGTGTGTGTGTGTGTGTGTGTGTGTGTGTGTGTGTGACTGTCAGTGTGTGTGTGTGTGTGTACATGTTTGACTGTCAGTGTATGTGTGTGTGTGTACATGTTTTTCTATCCCGGTGGGGACTTAAACCTGAATGCACACAGACTCATGGGGACTCGTGTCACTGTGGGCCTAAATTAAGGATCCCATGGGTAAACATGCTTATAAATCATTCAGAATTAGTTTTTTTAATGTAAAAATGCAGAATGTTTCCCGTGATGGGTATAGTTTTAGAGATAGGGTTAGTGTAAGGGGATAAAATATACAGTTTGTACAGTATAAAAAACATTACGTCTATGGAGAGTCCTCACAAAGATAGTAAACCAGACGTGTGTGTGTGTGTGTGTGTGTGAGTGAGTGTGTGTGTGTGTGTGTACAGTATGTGACTAAGGCCAATCTTAGCATCAAGAGGCTTTAAAAGCATAAGAGTCACTGTATCCTAAATCCCCTGTAGTGTTCCTGTGGTCCTCAGGCATTGGCCAGCGGGCAGATCAGAACAGGCTATATTTACCCTCAGGTATTAGCCCTGTTCTCCAGCCTGTGTGCCTGCGGTACACACTCTCTCAGATCCGTGTGTGTGTTTGCCGGATCTGTGCGGTCCAGGACAGTGCTGGACAGTGATAATCCTCTGAGATCTGTACAGTCATGCTCTGGGCTTTCACAGGAGCGTCAGCGGAAGCAGACGCGGGACTAGCGGAAGAACATCTCCAGGCTAGCACACACTACATCAGGCTAATGAGTGTGTGCAGGTGACCGGAGTCGTCTGAGCCCCGGAGAACAGCATCACACAGGTACACACACACACACACACACACACAAACCTCTTCATCTGCTCAGTTTCTACCTCTGCCCTAAACTCTCTGTTCTCTCTCTGTCTGTGTGTCGCACCATGAATCGTGCCGAATGCGGATGGATTATGGCCATATTCTCTGCGGGACATCTGCCCGTCCTCCGGTGAGTGCGAGTTCTGTACACACACACTACGAGTCCACACGCTGTATTCATGTTTCTCATCATCATAAAACCTTCTCATCTAGATGCAACAACACTCTAAAAATCACTGGGTTAAAAAACAACCCATTTTGGGTGGTTTTCAACCCAAGGGCTGGGTAAAAATAGGACAGAACACATGTTGGGTTCATTAAATACCCAGCAAATTGAGTTGTTTATTTAACCCAGCATAATGGGTTAATCATTTTTACTATAGTACTATTTTTTATTTTTTATACTTCATACGTGAATTAATGTTTACGAATTAACTTAAATCCTCTAAATATTTTTTTAAATATACTCCACGCAACCACTGGTTTGCACGATAATTCCTTTATTTTTGATCATATTTTACAGTATAGAATATTTATATAGTTTTTGAACACATACTGCCCACATTTAAGCTCATTTAACACATTTGGATTTGAGTAGATAAAATAACCCAGGATTTGTTTAGAGTGTAGACACATTAGTGATTCAGCATTTGCATGTAAGTGGCTTTCTGCTGGTGAACACAGCATCTGTGTGAACGTGTGCATGAAGGCGTCAGTATGTGACAGATTGAATCGGAGGCGGGGCTTGAGTTCTGGATTAACATGCATTCATTTTAATTTCAAGCAGACTTCAAATAAGACGTACGCAGTGATGTGAGATGGCGTGCTTTTCTGTTTTAGTGTGGTTTGTTTTGGAGGGAAACACAGAGCTCTGGTCTGGTGCATTATGGGTGTTCAGGAAGCGTTCTGCTCCTCGTCTTCGACTCAGTGAAGAGTCTTACAGTTACCTTCACTTCACCGATGACCCGGGCCCGGTTACGACAAACACCTTTAGCTGAGGAAACCCTTAGTTTATAAAATACTATGGTTTATTTGATGATGCTTTCAGCTGCAAGTGAAAGTTTTTCCACTGTATTACCAGATGCTTAATATGAGTGAGAGGCTGGATGGGCCCTTAATCACAGGTGATAACCCGAAATATTAGCTATAGTTATTACAATATATGAATTCAGGTTGATTGGGAAACTTCTTCCAGCCATCTCAATAGCAAAACGTGTCCAAATAAATCAACCTGAATTCGTCCCTTTGCAGTAAGTAGCATGGTATTTTGGTCTGTTTATCTGTCATTAAAGAAATTAAACTAAAGAAAGGTTTTTACTGGGTTTGAAGGAGATCCCATGTTTAATTTTTCTTGTAGTTTAGAGCAGTTACAATAACGGCATGGTGAATAAAACCTGTATAATAACTTAATAAGTTACTTCAGTGCTCAGTTGACTATCGTGTAGGTGAAGTACTCAGTTAGACTGGATTATTTGACTAGTTCTCTCGCTCCTGACCTGTGTCTTTGAATGTATTATCCACTAGTTAGCGCTATTTCACTGAAAGTCAACAGTCTTCGCTGCGGTGCGGTTCCTTTTGTCCGCAGTTTGGCAGTCAACATCCTTATTATAAACTATTCCCAGAGCCCACCAATATGAGACGAGTATTTCAGACAGACAGCGAGTCCCACCAATTACATTTCGAGTTCGACATCTGCCAGCCAATCATAACGCAGAGGCGGGGTTTCAGCGCGTCGTCGAGGGGAGGGGTTGAGGCTTCGCTTGTTTCACTACGTTGGCTTTTCTCCCAGAAAGATTTCGGTGTGGGAATTTCAATTTTACATTTCTGAGGCTGTCGGAAGCTCTTTCCCGGAGACCTCGTCCTGAAAGTTTCGCTGAGCTCGTCTAGAGTGAATAAGGTAGGCTGATTAAGGCTGCTTTTAATCATATCATCGGTGTTTGTGTGTATTTCCTACAGATGATCCCGCATGGATCTGATTGAAGTCTGCAGGAGCACGTCATTATGAGCCGTTAGTCTAATGTCACGTATTTCAAAAGATAAACTGTTCGGTGTAATATTAATACTCGTTTATGTGTGTGGGATTGTCACTCTGAGTAAGATCCATGTGAATCTGTGTGTTGAATGAATCGTGTAAGGATGATTTACAGCCTTTCGCGTGTTAATCGCATTGCTGTGGTGTTTGTAAATGTCGTTGGTCTAAGTTACCGTTACTGTGTGATGATGTAAGTTACATGTGTGTGTGTGTTTCATATCTAACACATGGACACATTCTCCACCACGGCCGTGTCAAATCCCCTATGGCGTCTTTATGTAAGGCTATAATCTCCAGTCGTGATGTTTACAGCGCCCACTGCTACTCGCCTGAACTCCTCTGGGTGATGGACGGCAGAACAACAGGGCGTTTTGAACAGCTGGAGGCCGTAATAATCATGTTAACGTGTTTTGTTCGTTGAAGTTCAGTGGCACGTGCCCTTAATGAAGCGAGTTGCCCGCGTGGCTGGCGCGCGATCACAGCTCTGTGTGTGTGTGTGTGTCGTCCTTGCTGTGTGTTTTAAGTGTTTGGTCTGGTTGTGTTTTTAACACGCAATAAACGCGTGGATGACGCGGCGCCATCTTCTGCATCGTTTCTGTGACGCGAACCTTCTGTCCAGATGTGCATTACATTACACACACACACACTGCGCGCGACGCGACAACGCAGGCTCGCTCGACCCTCAAAGTCAAGCCTCATTTTTAATTGCTTCACTAAAATGTTGTAGCTGATGGCAAAAAAATGTAATAACAAAACTGCAGCATGGCATTTGATATATTTAAAATTCACAAAATGCTGTAAAAATGCACTGAAAATCTGAGGTGATTATTGTATGTACATTTGAAGATGTACATAAAGGACAGTAACTGGAGAATTTACAGACAGGACAACTTAACAATTTTTGGAGGGAAGTCATTTTTTAGTTGGTTGATGCTTTCGCAAAGTGCTTAAAGCTGCATGAAGCGGAAGTTGCAATCATCAGTCTTTAGTATTGTGCTGTATACACGAGTGAAACGCTTCAGGAACAAGAACAAATGTGGGCGGGGCTTGATTGTGTCTGTGGGGAATTGATTGGATGGTTGTGGTTTGCTATTGGTGGATCTGGTGTGAGTGACAGGTTATAGCCCCGCCCTCGTCATCAGAGAAGAGAAGAGATGCTGCGAGAGGAACTTATTCTGATGCAAGATTATTCTGAGACGCATGAATTAAACACCATAATGATGTGCATGGAGAAAACATTTAGCATAAACACGGCAATATTTGATTTCATGGTGACTTTAAGGCCCGAAACAATCTCAAAACTAGCATGTGAATCCAGACACGCCGGTGTTTACCAGGATTCACAACCGCTCTGTCAGGCAGAACCTCTTGCACTAAAACAGCCTATCTGTTGATTAATGGTCACATGGGATGCGACTAAACACTCTCTTTGAGTCTATTTTAATTTTACATTTGCAAACCCCCTTAATTTCCCTCTCAATCCCCAGTTTGGGAAACCTTTATCTACACCAACTCGGTTTTCTGCTCCATTACATGCACAAAAATCATAATGCAGTGCAAGTATGCGTAGCTGCATGAGACACTGCGTGTGAAGGGGAAATCTGTGGTGTCAAACAGAGACTGTGTGTGTGTATAATACAAAGTGATACAACAGAACAGACATTCTTATCATTCTGCACACGCAGTTCTGTACAAAACACAGTGTTTTCTTCTACACTTGATAGTGTGATGCAGTTCCTGTGTCAATCACACTGTGTCTAATGCATACGTGCGTATATCATCATGCTGCAGGTTTCTGGAGCAAAAATTTGCGTTTGTAACTGTAAGTGTGTGTGTGTGTACGTGCAGTCATGTGATGTGTTCGCGCTAATGTTTGACAAGAGCAGCCGGTGCACGGTTTCATTCCCGCTAAACGCTTTTAGGTGTTGTTTTGCCAAACGCAAGCGGTCCGTCATGAGAAGCGTGTCCCCCCCGCCCCGCTGGGCCACTGCGCTGGGATTAGCCTGTGGCGAGTGTCAGGGTCTCTAGCGGACCTCGATTGGGTGAGGTTTGAAGGGTTTACTTCCAATTGGATGGTTTTCTGAGTCTATACCAGTGTAGCTTTATCCCAGACCATCTGTCAGATCCGTGTAGCGTCTTTACGAACACACACACCCACACACACACAAAGGAAAAGCATCATGTGTTGTGTTCCTGTACGTCGAGTGTGTTGTGAGATTACTGCATGAGCCGTATGTAAGTGTGAAACCCCCTCCGTCTGTTTGTCTGCTCGCTCTTATCACTGTGTTTGTGGACGTCTAAAGGGAATCGTCTTGTTTGACCCATACTGGGTTATTTGGCTTTGGGAAGGTGCTGCATGCAAGTTGTTGATTTGACTTTTCTAGTCAAATAGCAGTCACAAACACTGTTCTATCAAACCAGACTGATTTATTAGTAATTCATGTTCATTTCATCTGATGTGCTTCGGGTTGTTGCATCCACCCTAGTGGTTTAGACTCCGTTACACACACATCTTCTTCTGATTGATACACAGATATGCTGCTTTGTTTGGCTGTCCCGCACGTCGCCCTGTGTAACGTTATCCTACAGTTTCTTCAACATCACTAATGTTTTCCTCCAAGCTGCCAGTTTAATTCAAGAGAAAAATGTAAGCGTCGCAAAAGAAGTGTTTCTATATTCTAAGGCCTATAAATGATGAACATGATCAAATCTCTGCTGTCACTCGATCTCCTCCAGTTCTTCTGTCTCTGACTGATAGTTCAGACTCGTTTATCCAGTAAAGGTGTTTCAGTGTAACTGTACAAACGTCCTCCTTCAGCTCGAGCTTCTCGTGTCTTTCTGGGTCAAATCTGACCCGATTTATCAAGGAAACGCAAGAATAACTTTGATATTGTTAGTAATATTTCACCTGGACTGAAGCAACTGAGGTTTACTTGATCATCCAGACATTATTTATCAGAAAAATATGATCATCAGGCTTTTGAGGAAGGTTTATTTGTTCATCTGTCAATCAT